ATTTTTTTTAAAGTCCAGTAAAATTTTGGTTTTATGTGGTTGTAAAGACAAAAACATTTAGAAAACTTACTTAGAAAAATGAAATTGGCTACTTAAACTTTTTCTTATAAAAATGATACACCAGAATCATTCATATTCTCTCTTAATTCTTCACCTAGAAAAAGTTTATGAAAGATTTAACAAAATGTTATATTAGAAAATCATAATGCTATATATATTGTCTAGTAGTTTTTTTCCCATTTCATAAGACTGATAGCTCTACCCACATGGTACATTTGGATAGGTAAATCAGCTAAAAGGAATCATTTGTATGGTGATGGATGGAAACTAGGCTTTTGGAAACAAACGTAAGTATATATAAATATTTATAAGGCTTCATACCTGAAATTATGTATGTTATACATCCATGTTGCTTCCTTTTTTTAAAATTCTGATATTCCGGTCATTGGCATGAATAACAAGATTCTTCGGGGGTGGGGGTGTAACACTACAGGAATTTTCTGGGCACTGTAGGCTCCTCTTTGAAGTTCAGCTACTTCAAATATATAACCACTGTCTTAATCTCATAATGGTTCTTATTGGGTTTTGGGGTCAAATAAAACACTTGAGCTAGAGTGTGCTGACAGGATTTTATTAATGGAGATAAAAGATGATTGCAGTGATTTAAAGGAGATAAAAGGGGCTTTCCAGTTAGCAACTCAGTCTACATTTTCAGCTTCATCTCCTCATCTCTGAAAATACCATTCTGATAAGCTGATTTACTTGATTGTTACACAAATTTAAATCATTATCAGCTCTGCAGTTATAACTTGACGTGTAGAGTAAGATGCAATTCACAAATGAGCTATATGGCCAGGAATTCTCATTCCTAAGATAAGAGACACACACACACACACACACACACACACACCTGAACTTCTCATTCCTAAGATAAGACACACACACACACACACACACACACGACCTTACTGCTATCTATATACTCCACCCCTATGGTCAGTTCTCTGTCAAAGGTCTGGCCCTGATTGCTTTGCAGCTGCAGACTCATAGTTCCTGAATTTGTGCAGATAAAATACCCTACCAGCACATGAAACTTAGCACGCCTGAGACAGAATTCAGTATCTTCTACAGGGGATTTCCATTCTTCCCAACTAGGGATCATCTGCTCATTCCTCATTCCTGAAATCTGTAAACCCAAATACTGTATTGGTGTATAGAGCAGGTATCTTTGTATTCATTCCTTTGTATTTCCAGTGATTGTTCTACTTTCCTCATGACTGCTAACCTGACTTCTAACCTCTCCCCTTCTCCCAACCCTTTCTCCACTGTCAGGATCATTTTTTTCTATCCCGGAACCTTGGTGACTTTTTTGATTTTTGCCACACTGCTGTCCAGGAGAAATAGACTACAAACTGCATATGTAATTTTAAGTTTTTTAGTAAGTACATTAAGAAAAATGAAGCAAATGCAACTAATATCTATGAATTAAGCATCTAAAATATTTCTACATATTAAATAGAATATGTTGATACACTAATACTAAATAGAAAGCTACTTTACAAAAATTTTTATATTACATTTCTGGGATCCAAGATATATTTCACATTTAACAAAATATCTTTATCCGAACTAGCCCTATTTCAGACTCAGTAGCCCCATGCAACTAGCAGTTACCCTGTCGGACAGTGCAAGGCCACAGCATAAAGTTTCCAGTTCTTGGACTGCAATTCTGAACACTCCACTTCAGCTCCTGTCCTGCATCTTTCATGTTTTCATCACTCACCGAGCGTCAGCCCCACCTAGTTCTCTGCCATTCTTTTCCTTTCATTACTCTTCCCTGCCTTGGAAATCTGACTCACCTTCTGGAACCTAACCTGAAAGCCACTTCCCCAGTGAAGGCTAGCTGCACTCTCATAGTGCCCCAGAGGCATTTACAAACCACTAGCTCTTAACCTTCTTACAGCCGCATTTATGGGAGCCATTCTTCTGGCTCCGGAGCGAGCCAGCAGTGAGTAAGCCTTGGAAGGTCAGCTGTCAGTTGCCACCGCCTCCTTCCACCCTGTTTCCTAATGTTCCCTGTGGTCTCCGTTTGCACGAGGGATAGCCTTGTCCCTTGCTTCTTGATAATGTATTTGGGATCTTAAGCAAGAGCTATCTCCTTTAACAGTTGTTTTCAACTTAACCTTTGAATTGTAATCGGAATGAAATTTCCCTTTATATCTGGATTAATTCTGCTGTTTTAAAGCGTGTTTGCTTGTGAATTGAAGCTTTTGCTTATGTAAAAGGAAATATTCATTTCCTCATAGAAAATACTGCCTAAAATGTTAAACTAGGTTTCAGATGTACATGTGGTAGATTATAATGGTTTTAGCCTGCTCTGACCTCAAATATGACTTATATTATGTAACTTATTCTTTATAAGTAAATTATGCATGTTTATTAAGACTGTTCCCCCTAGATTGAAAAGTTTATATGCTCTTTGAATCTCCTTTTCCTCTAAAGCAATTTGACCGATACAGTGTTTTGGCTTGGGATCATTTTCTCATATAAGAACCGACAGGTGCCTGAAAGGTTGTGCACTATTCTGGGAGAAATCTGATTAATGTTGAAGGATAGTGTCAGGTTAGCCTCTGTAAACTGCTGACAGATTATTCAGTGAGTGCCAGGGTTGACTGTCAACAGTATCTCAGATTTTAATGGTTTTCTTGTGATGGGCATTTATAGATGAAATTAGTTTGAATTTAAAGTTAATTGTGACTCTTAGATTAGAGACAAGCTAAGAAGAAATTCTTTCCTTGAGGAGGTAGTAATTTAAGGAAAAAAAAGAATGATTAATCAGATGAGTTGCAAAGATTATAACTGCATTCTGTGTTTTCAAACAAGTTGTTACATTTTGAATTATGCAAAATCTTACTCAAGAGATTCCTCCTGAACTATCTTCAGTTCTCTTAGAGGAGTTTCCTCACAACTACCTGAAAAAATAGGATAAATACCCCTTCCTGATAGGGTAGATCTGTCATCCTTAGGGTTTTCTTTCCCCGACCACTGCTGCCCCCACATACAGTTCACCTGGTGACATTTTTGCTTCACGACTCCAAATCCCTGTGATACCAGTTACCAGTTCACATCTGAGCAACCTAGACAGACTCTTTGCTCATCCTCTTCTGAAATTCTCTTGTTCACAAGCAGGTTGAAGGATATTTTTTTCTTTTTTGTAATCATTATTATTATTTAAACTGTACAGTGAAAAAATTTAAATATATCTCAGATTAGAAAGATAAGTGCACCACTCACTGAACTTCAGTTTTCCGTTCTTAGGCTGACCTTGTTTCATCTACTATTCCATCAACTTACTCTTCCCCATTATTTTGAAACAAATCCTAGATAGTACATCATCTGATCAATTTAGACTTGCCCCCAAATGAAATTTTTTTTGGCTATTTGTTGGTCACAATAAATAGGGAGGCTACTTTCCCAATAGTGACAACTGCTTTTCCAGTTTCCTCTTAATTTTTTGAGGGGGTATTCTATTTTTATTTGATAAGTGTCATCACCAGAAAAAGAGTATAGTGTGTTCTTTTTACAAAAGCCAGTTTTTCATGGTTAGGCATTCTCAGACTTTTACATCAAATACATTCTTTTAAAATGTTTGGGAAAGTTGAATGTATGAAAAAAGACAAATTGTATGGTGAGGATGCTTTCTACTTAGAAAGCCTTAAGACTTAATAAAATTCCTAATTAATGTATTAAGTCTGTACGCACTCATAATGAAAACAAAATTTAAAGAATACAGAGTGGTGTGAAATAAATTAAAACCTCCCTTTGGGTCATTGGCCACTTACCTTATTTCTAAAACAGACTTCAGAGGTTCCAGGAGGTTCATTTATGGTCAATTAAAAAGCCATATGTGTATCAGGCCCTTCCTGGTGGTGCAGTGGGTTAAAAGCACAGCACTATGAATCTCTCTCCGCAGCCACTGTAGCACAAGTTCGATCCCCTGCCAAAGAGGTGGCCCACATGGCGTGGCAGACCTCTCCTGTTCCACCTGTTGCTCACTCAGCAGTGTATTCAGTAGATCTGCCTGTTCTGCTCCCCATTATGTCTCTGGTGAATCCTCTTACCGCCCCCCCCCCACCTCTGGCCTGTACTCCAGTTCTTGTGTGCATAAATAAATAAATAATTTTTTCCCAAGCCATATCTGTATCTAGCATTTTTGTTCTCTGTTTATTTGAATTTAAAAGAAAGTTGAAAATTGGTTTTAATGTTGAAGAGAATGACTAAGTTGATGTTGGAAGGTGTTGAAAATGGTATGATGTTGACTTTGATATCTTACTTTCTTGAACACTAATTTCTTCCTGATAAAGAAGCCTTATACAGACTATGAATTCATGAACACTTCTGTATACCTGTGAGTCTTTACAAGTACTTTCCAGTAGAAAAATGTGATCCATATATGTCATTTTAAATCATAGCATTCATAGCATAGAAATTAAAAGTAAAAAGAAACAGATGAAATTAATTTTTACAGTGTATTTTATGTGGTATATTAGATTCAAAAAGTATTTCAACATGTAAACTATATAAAAAAATCAACGAGATTTTTGTTAGACTGTGTATGTGTGTGTGCGTGCAATTTTTCCCCCCCAAATCCAGTGTATATTTTAAACCTACAGTACATCTCTGTTTAGACCCACCCCACTCAGGTGTGCAACATGTAGTGTGGTTATTGTATTGGACAGCCTTAAACAGGATATAGTGAGTCTTTGAGGGAAGAGGAAAGAAAACTGGATGTGATCTTAATTTTGTTGTTAATTTCATAGTATTGTTCAGTATTTGGAGTTAAAAGTTTGCTGCTTTGTTATTCTTGCCAGCTCTAGCAATCACTAACATCAGCACTTTTTTAAACCAATTTTCTTTATTTCTTATACCAACAAAGACTAATAACAAATACTTTTATACAAAGATAATCCTGCTGAAAACAAACTCTTGGCTGGTAGGCAATGCCACCCTGTGGTAGCTCACATGTTTTTTCATTCACCAGTATTACAGATCAGACTCTTAAGGAAGAGATTGGCTTAGAAATACTAGTAAGTGACATATGAAACTTCTGCACATTTTATTTTTTTCAAGGATTTAAGAGCTGGGGTATAGGCCAGAGATGGGGGACATAGGTGAGAGGATTCACCAGAGACAGTGGGGAGCAGAACAGATGGATGTACTGAAATCCACTGCTGAGGGGAGCAGTGGCTGAGACAGGAGAGGTCTTCTGTGCCATGTGGGTTAGTTCCCTGGCTGGGAATCGAACTCACAGTGCAGTGGGTGCAGATTGTTTGATGATAATGAGACTTACTAACCCCTTGTTCCACAAGGGAGGCCCCATTTCTGCATATTTTATTCTGAATTTCAGGGTAAAAAAAAATATATATATATATGGATATGTATGTGCACATATAAAATATTTATATGTGCATATTTATATATAATATATATATTATTTAGCAGCTAATAAAATTAACTCTTAGGAGTAAGAATTCCTGAGAAGTTAAAAGCCTTTACAAGTAATTTTTTTTTTTTTTTTTTTTTAAGGAGTTGCAGATGGTGTAGGAGGATGGAGAGACTATGGAGTTGATCCATCTCAATTCTCAGGGACTTTAATGCGAACTTGTGAACGGTTAGTAAAAGAAGGACGGTTTGTCCCAAGTAATCCCATTGGAATCCTCACCACAAGCTACTGTGAGTTGCTGCAGAATAAAGTACCTTTGCTTGGTAAGTAGATACCCTATGTATTTTCCTCACTAAAGAATTGCAGGAATTGGTTTAAAACAAAACTGAGAAAATCACTTACCAGTCCATCTTTTTTTCTGTGATTTTCCTGTTAAAGGACAGTTTGGTAGAGAAGCTGTTAACGTGATACTTCTTGTAGGGAATGTACTGATAATTAAGTACACTCCACTTTTGGAAACAATTTGACATCGCAGTAGAAAGTTAAACATGTACATAAAGCATCCCCCAGCTGTCCAACTTCCAAGTCTATCCCCTAGACTGTGTCAAGAGATGGCAATGTTGATAGTAACATTGCTTATAAGAGCAGGAGAAAGAACAACCTAAAAATCCATCAATAACAGAGAAATGCCATTAGGAAAGGAATAACTTAAAGCTGCCTGCAATACTCAGGAACATGTTGAGGGAAAAGAGGACATAGCAGAGCACACCTAAAAAGCTGTCTCATATATGTCAAGTTCAGAAACAACAAAAAAAGCTGTACTGTTTTAAGGATTTTAAAATACCATGAAATAAAAGCAAATGTTTCTGTAATTCAGAGTAGTTTTTCTCCGAGAGAGGAAAAAAGGGGGTGGGCTTAATTAGCATCTAAAATGCAGTTGAATTATCTGTGGGGATTTCAGCTTGCCAGTAGATACTCCATACTTCTACTGGTTAGCTAATTAGTATGTGAAATTGCATAGTACAAATAGACCCCTATTATACTTGCATTGGAAACCTGACAGATACCTAGTGTTTGTTGATTTGGTATGCTAATGGCACATCCTTTGGCCAAGTTTCTACATACGTTTTTTTGTTTGTTTGTTTGTTTGTTTTAATTTATTACAAAGTTTATTTTTACATCATTTTGCACATTTTTTTTTTCCATCTCGATTGTAATCCCCGCGGGTTTCCCATCACCAAATCACCCCTGTGCCACCACAATAGTCCCGTGCATTTCCCTCCCTCTACATATGTTTTTTTAACTGGTTTTCTGAGAACTTACCCAGCCTTCTAAGCAGAATCTCACAAAGGGTGTTATTAATGTTTCTGCTAATTCCTTAATTATAGAAAGGTCTCCTTTCCTGTCACCTTCCACATTTAAAATCCACTTCTGTTCAGTGTTAATGGAGATCTCTCCATTGTAGAACTTTACCTTCAATTAAAATCCTCTGGAAGAAGGAGCTCTTTTCATCACACTGCCATCTTGTACTTTATAGTTTGTTTTCCTTTTAAGTGAAGAGAAATCTTGTTTTGCAATTTCAGTATACCACTTTGTCTTATCCCACTGTTTTTTGGGTGTGTAATCCACAATGTATCTGGCATAGTGAAACATCCTAAATTCTGTGTCTGGCACCTCTCTTGTAAACTTGCCACCCTTTAAGGCAAACCCTTTTACCTCTTAGCCCTTTGATTCGTTTATTAAATGGCAAGGTCCTTTTAATACAAAAGGAACAACTTAGAGCTTTGTGCATTATCACACATGAGGAGTGCCATGTAATACATCAGAGAGCCTCTAGGTCAGATTCCTGGCACAAGACTGCTGTCTGTTCCCATGAGTGCTTCTGCCGAACCCTTCCCACCTTAACCTCCACGCCCCAACCCCCCATGCATTTATTGTGACTTGAATAACCAGCTACAAAATAAAACTAACCTGACTTTGTAGCTTTGGTTTTTTCCCCTCTCATCCTTACTTTCCTTCCTGTTTATTCTCACGTAACAGAGAGATTGTAATCAAATTTTCAGACATCTTAGAGGTCTTCTTACATTGGATTTGATACTTTTTTCTCTTAAAAGACAGATTAAAATAATCGTTTCTTACCATATTTAACACATACACATTTCTCTCTCACCTAATCTACACATCTCAGATGTGTTGCATGTTTTGGCAATGACAAGCTGCTGAGTTTACTGAACCTCAGATATAATCAATAACTTTATAGAAGGGTACTCATTTTGTGGTTTACTTTTTAAATCTAGCAGTTACTAAAACCTATAAAGTAATAGTGATATGAAATGTAAACCGATTGCTATACCCACTCTTTTTTTGAGAATTTCTAGATTTGAGTTGGCATCACAGGCTAATTGTTGTCATATATGTCCTTAGAAACCCTTAAGTGGACTTAGATCCTGTGAAGCTAACTCATCTTAAGAATTTGAGGGGTCAATCCTAATAAGGTTATGCCTTTCTGTGTTTGCTGCACAAAAGGCTTAGTAGTAGTTTATAAAATGAAGGGCCGGGTGATAAAAATATTTCCATTTTAGCATGAGGAATTTGCCTGGATGCCTGTCTGTATTGGTTGATCCTTTGAACATCCTGCACGGTTCCTAGCACCTTTTTTCTGACTGGTCTTCCCCTGCTTGTTCTGCTCTAAACACATTTAGAGCAATTCCCCCGGTATTAGACTATTAGGGCCTGTGTCACTTACACACAATCAATAATTTTAATACCTTCGTTTAATGCCTTCGTTCGGACTGTTTTCCATTTTTTAAGCTCAGTCACTTCTGAGGACCATTTTGATTCTGACTCAGCCAGTTACTGCCACAAGGGAAACGAAACGACAGCCTGGGTTTGCCAGTGAGTAGTAGTATGAGTCAACCTGAGTCCTTCCTGCAGCAAAATTTTCAAGGCTGTACTATTCATCTGTTACTTTTTATCTCAATTAACCCCATCAACTTTTATAAGACCTGTTTCTATTCTACGAATGATGAGTGATTGGCATTTCTGTGCATTGAGATAGGAAGGAAGGGTAACTGGTGATCTGAGCTCTAATAGAAGAGACGGAGAGTGCCTGTGAGGGCACTCCCAGTTAGTTACAGCACTTGTTTTTCTTCATTGTCTAATGGATAGGAGCTAGAGAGCTGAGAGTTGGGGTTAGTGCCCATGTTTATATTTTTAAAATTCAGTTACTTGTCCCACTAAGAAAACTATGAACTTTTTGCATGATCATGCTCCCAGATCTTTTATCTATGTTATTTATGTATAGAATAATAGCAACAAGCATTGAATTTAGTATGTGCTCATAAGAGCCCTATGAGGAAGGTACCTAGGTATCTCTATTCCTCATTTTGAAGTATTTTTGATGAATACTTCTGTAAGTTTGATATCACCCCTTTTTTTAAAAAAGATTGATTTATTTATGCATATAAGAACTGGGGTACAGGCCAGAGTTCCGGGGGGGGAGTGAGAAGATTCATCAGAGACAGAGTGGGGAGCAGAACAGGTAGATGTACTGAAATACGCTGCTGAGGGGAGCAGTGGGTGGGTCAGGAGGGTCACCTCCCCGGCTGGGGATCAAATGTGGTGTGGTTGTGGATAGCATTTAACTCGTTCCACCACCAGGGAGGATCCTGATAACCACTTTTTTTTTTTTTTTTAAGGAAATTTAATACTAGTTTACGTAATCTACTTAAATTATCATATATTTTCAGATTTATTTTTCTAATATAATTGTAGTGGTTATCAAATAGGTAATGCTTATTATTATAATATGTCATAAGCATTTGCCGTGATCTACAGCTCATTTGCCGTTATCTTACAGCTCTGAGGTATTTATCTTATCTTCATAAACAAGGAAACCAAGGCACAGAGAGGTTAAGTAATTTTCTTCAGGTCACATAGCCAATAAGTGTGAGAGCCAGAATTCAGATGCAGGGAGGTTGATTGGAGTCTGTTTTCTAAGGATTATGTGACAGTAGAGAGCTGTCCCATTATATGACCGTACCGTGATTTATCTAACCAGTTCTTGAATGTTAGATATACAGGTGGTTTCTGTTTCTTCCTGACCTTAAACAATGTTTTTGTACGCATCTTATGTGCATTTCTAATTATTTTCTTTGTATAAATTCTCATAAGTGGAACTTCGAGATCAAAGGATTTGCACATTTTTCAGACTGTTTTCTTTAGAAAGCTCTTTAGTATTACTCTCTCACATTCTCTACATTCTTGCCAACTCTGGGTTTTGGCACTGGTTAACCTAGTAAGTGAAAGTTCCTAGTGAGATGATCATTTTTCCACTTACAAATTACTTGACATTTTATTTCTTGGTGAATTGCTTATTTTTCTGTTTTGCCTTTTTCTGTAGGTGTAGTCTTAAATGTTAGTACTGGAAAGCAATGTTACTTACTGTACCATTGGTCTTGCAGTTTGGGGAAGGTCTTTTGATCTCTGTGTGCAGCCAAGGTACACAGATAACTTTTTGCTCTCTGCTTGAAATGCAGCTTCTTCCCTCTGTAACAGCCTCTTCCCTTGTGGAACAGGTTGATTCCATGAGCTACCTGTGATAATTATTTTTGTTACTTCATAGTCTCCATTAGATGCTTTTCATGACCTCAACAGAGATCTAGTTTAAAATTATAGTTACTGTTGTTAATCTCTGCCTTACTTATGTTAGTGAACTTTAAAGAAAGCTGCCAGCGACTAATGAGAATGTCAAGGGAATGTAATATTCTCATCCTGGCATTTAAATATTAAAATGTAATATCTCAACTGCATGCTTTTGAGCATTTGGTATAGGTTATAGCAGTATTGAAAGAAAATACTGTGATTAAGTATCAGCTATTTAAAATTTTTTCTTTCTTAGCAAATGGTAGAATGCAGTCATCAGTGTTCCATTTAACAATATAAATTCCTTCCCCCCCTCCCCCAACATTTTGGCCCTGACCGTGTCACAGTGGGAGATATGGCACCTTACTGGTAAAGATTCTGTTAGGGAAATGAGGTTCAGATTATGGCATGTTGCTCTTTGGAGTGCTGTGATAAAAAATATATATGCAGAGGAAGCCTAGGAAGAGAAAATAAATGGAGATGACTTTTGTTTCTAGGTAGCAGTACCGCCTGCATCGTGGTGCTGGACAGAACTAGCCATCGCTTGCACACAGCCAACCTGGGCGATTCAGGATTTCTGGTTGTTAGGGGCGGCGAAGTTGTGCATCGGTCAGATGAGCAGCAGCATTACTTCAACACTCCATTCCAGCTCTCGATCGCACCACCTGAAGCTGAGGGAGTCATCTTGAGTGACAGGTAATCTCCCCTCTTAAACATGAAGTGTGATCAGGACTTACCCACAGGTTCCCTTCTGTTCCCCCTTAACTACGGTGGGGTAGACATTGTCCCTTTTCGTGTGAGAAAAGACACACTGAAAATACTCTCATCAGGAGGACTTCATAGTTTGACTTTGAAAGATACTTGGCTTGAAATTGATGTTGCAGCCACATTGAATTTTGATAAATACACAATGATTTGACAAGACTGAACATACTATTTCAAGCTGACACAGTATCAGTTTTCCATATACTAAGACCATATGGTACATCAGTTTGTATTAAATTGTGCTGGAGAAATGAGTCCTCATTCAGACATGCCACTGTCTGTGCAAGACTTTGATACATTATTAGGGAAGAGTACAAACAGACATCTGCTGGATTTAAGAACAGCTTCTTGATTCTTGATTCTGTTGAATGCATCAAACAAAACTTGCAGAGTCTGCCAGAGCAGAGGTAACTTGTGAGAAATGGAGTCAAAGGTGGTCTTGGAGATGACCTGTAATGATGCTGTTTGAGGTGTTCTTTTTCACTTTCTCGGTTCATTTTTAAATTGTCAAGGACCTTCCAAGCCTTGTACTTTTTAAAAATCAACTTTTAAAGTTTATCTTTTCTAAGATCAGACTACAGAGTAAGGCTAGACAGTCTCAGATTGCACTGCCTTTCACAATCTTTTACAGGACCTGGCAGAAACATAGTTGGCAATTCATAAATGTTGTTAAATGATCCTTTTGTTTAAAAAAAAAAAAAAGGACAGTATTCTAAACAAGTGCCTGTTGTCTCTACTTAGTTATTATTAAGGAATATCTTAAGTCCATACTAAGATAAATTGATTATGACTGTCATTCATCTTTTAAAGTGCAGTGAACATATTATATATTAGGTATATTCAGTTTCATTCACTAAAGTCCACCACTGACTCCTAAGAACTTTTCACCTTTAGGAAGGCAGATTACCATAAATGGAAGAATATTTGATTATAGGCCCTCTAGTTACTGTAATACATAATAATATTAGCCATAATGGAGTAGGAAGAACTCAGGTCGATAGGAAGCTCAGCTCAGTTTTGGGAGAGCAGTGTATTCATTTTCCTTTCTTGGATTCTTGTTTTGGCTTCTAAGCGCGTGCCAGAGCGGCCCTGCCATACCGCACATGCTCTCTTAGGGACCATCCAGTCAGGGCAACATTCTGCCTGCCTGCCAGCCAGTGAGGTGGAGATTGCTTCCTCTGGTGCCCAGAGACAGCTTGCTAGCATGTGATTTCAGCTCGTGTTTCCGCGCAGTCGAAAGTTTCCAGCAGCACAGTATGTTCACTCAAAATGGGCAAAACTGCAGCTGGCAGAACACCAAGCTCATGGGTGGGAGTGTTGGGAGAAGAGGACAGGCTGGCCAATGGCAGCCAGTCTCAGGCAGACTTGCAAAGGGCACTCCTGGGGAAAGAAACCTCAGCATTACACGAGCTTCAGTGCCAGCCTGCGCGCCAATCTAGACATCTGGAATCTAAAGACCGAGCAGATGGGAAGTATCTTTTTTCTTTTATCCAGAGAAGACACCGGCCTGGTTCCCACCAGCTCTACAGTTTTTCTTCTATTTTCCCCCTTGCTGTATCTGTCTCCTTAGTCAAAAATGTTAAGTCCCACTTATGTATATCATACTATTTTAATGTTAATCCTTTAGTGGTTACTTTTGCAAAATATTTATACATGTCACTTGCAAGTTTAAGGATTTCTGTCAGGCATAGAGTTCTGGCCCCTCCCTTCCAGATCAGCGTATGAAGTTTTACTGGCTCTTGTTCCCTGATTACATTTTAAGGCAGGCTGTCGACACTCTCACGTTCCCTCCAGAGCTTGGGAGCAAGGAAGCTGGCCTTTGAAAGTGACTCAGACTGGCCTTTTGAGGGAGGCTATTATTAATGCTTTGAATATATGACCTTTTATTTCCACCCCCACCTGGGGTTTTTTCCTTATGTCTGTTTTCATCAAAATGATGTCAAAGGGGAAAAAAAATTTCCATCATTTTTATCAGTTTTGCACAAAAGTTGTCCCGATGTCTGCCTCCTAACCCTGCCCCCGCCATACAGTCTCTTCTCAGGTAGCCGCTGCCCTCCCTCTCTGCACCCTTCCAGACTTCTGCTCCACTGTAGCAGGATCCCCTCCTCCGCACCACCTTGTTCTCTTATTACATAGCAGGGTGTCCCTTCTGTCCCTCACCCTCCCCAGTTTGGAAGGACAGTTACTCTGTTTCAGTCACTATTTCTTTAAGACCCACTATGTACCAGACATACTAATAAATATCTCAGTATGGGGCTTTGTAAACTCTGAGGAGTACATACTCCTAACTCTGGCAGAGAAACTGTTACTTCTCCTAATACTAGTACTATAGTGTATCTTACTGTACACCCCTGGGGGAGGGGGTATTTCATGTGGATATCTTAGAGAATCGGCATGCACTTCTCCATGTTGCTCAGTATTCCACTTTAACAGCCTCCTGAAAAGGAGATTCAAGGCTACATGGGAAATGAGTAAGAGGAGATAGAATTTGGCTCTAAAAGGTTGGGAAATAAATACTCATTTCCACTAGGATTTTTTTTTTTTAAGATTTATTTTTTGTATTTATTTATGCACACAAGGCCAGAGGTGCCCTGAGGATGAGAGGATTCGCCAAGACAGAGTACGAAGCAGAACAGGCAATCTTCTGAAACACACTGCTGAGGGGAGCAGTGGGTGAGGCAGGAGAGGTCTGCTGCACCCTGTGGGTCACTCCCTGGCAGGGATCGAACTCATGTTGCAGTGGCTGCCAATAGCTTCATAACTCTGAGACTTAACCCCTTGTGCTACCAGGGAGGCCCCTCCACCAGGATTTTAGAGGCATGTTAGTATATGACTCAGAAAACAATGCTTCCCCTTTTAAATTACATATGACTAATCATCAAACTCAGTTTTTCTTAGTTTCAGTTAAACTTCTGAAATATTTTTACGAGAGTTTTCCGTTAATTTTTTCAAAGTTCAGCATTTCAGAATGACTGGCCTTTATTTTTGACTCTGTTATAAATAAGCTGTTCATGTTGTAACTTGTATCCTATTGGAAACTTTCAATTGTATTTCTAAAGGGCTTTTTTCATCCTGTCTGCTTTGTCCTTGCCACAGCCCTGATGCTGCTGATAGCACGTCTTTTGATGTCCAGCTAGGAGACATTATCCTGACAGCCACAGATGGACTCTTTGACAACATGCCTGATTACATGATCCTTCAGGAGCTGAAAAAGTTAAAGGTAATTTGCTCCAAGGCCAGTTCTTGGAAACAGTGGCCCTCTCTGGGCAGCTAAGTTTTATTAATTTGATTGCATTATCTTTCTGTAGTTTTGGAAAGTACTGTTTTGTGAATTTAGGAAAATATAAGCTCTTGTAAGCATTATAAATGCAAATGCAGAATACTTGCATAGTCTGACAGGTTTGCAAATTAGAGTTTGCAGAAAAAAGAGGCTTCTCATGCAAGCCTTACTAGTGTGGTTAAGGTCGGAAAGTCCAGATGAGGACGCTATGACCCCAGAGCCAGCCAAAGCAGCAGCAGAAGGCAACCCATATTCAGGGGCCTTAATAGGACCTGAGAGCTGTCACAAGTACCAAAACAGTTCAGACTTTGTCCAGACAAAGTGGAAGAAAAGTAAAAACCAGTCTTTCCTAATTCTCCTGACTTTGTAAATGTACAAACTCCAGGACCATTTTTTTTCTCATGTACTTAATCAGTGCCCAGTATAACTTTGCACGTTTCTAAACTTTTAGAATAATACTTTCCTCATCTATAAAACAGGGGATGTAGGGAGGGAAAAGGTTTACAACCAGTACTATTTTGGAGGTTGCAGTGGGAATTAAGACCACGTGCACAGAATCCTTAGCTCCATGCCTGTGTGCTCTGCGTGGTGACAGGGAGGTGAGCAGAAAGCCCCTGCCTGTGTGGGGCTTACGTTCTAATGCAGGAAGACATGCCACAGAAAAAAAGTAGATAATGATGGTGTAAATAAGAAGAAAATCAAAGCAAGGTAGAGAGTAGAGAATAGAGAGGATGGCTGTTTTAGAAAGATGGGTCAGGGAAGGCCTCTCTGTGGAAGTAACATTAAAATGGAGGCCTGTTATTATTTATATTGAAACTGTTTGAAATTGTAGTGTTGGAACTAAAATGAACCCTGTGGCTGTCCCCATTTTACAGATGAGGAAGTTGAAGCAACAAGATTCAAGGTTAAGCAGCTATGGTTCAAGGTTAAGGCCAACAAGATTCTTTCATCATGATATAAAATTCTAAAGTTATTTTTAGTAGGGCCAGTGGCAGCTTTTGCTATAGTTGGCCATGGGTACATTCCCAAGCAAGAAAAACCTCTGTGGTCATCAAAACCCACCTTTTTAAAATCCTAATTTAGCAAAAATCCCTCAAGAATTTCAAATGGGAAAAAGGCAAATCTGAAAATCTAAACTTACAATCCACACAGCACGAGCAAAGGTTTTTCTGATGACATGTTATGAACACAGCACTGATGGTCTTGTTCATTTATCAAGGTGCATTGTTTTAATGTCTTCTTTAATTGGCATACAACTTAAGTGGTGGATATTGTGTTTAGATAAATATTAGTGTCTTAAAAGCAATACATGCAAGGAGTATACTTACATGCAGAAACATGAGACACGGTGAAAAATAACTCCTGCGTTCTTTCATCTTAGAATTCAAATTATGAAAGTATACAACAGACAGCAAGAAGCATTGCAGAGCAAGCACATGAGTTGGCCTATGACCCAAATTATATGTCACCCTTTGCACAATTTGCATGTGACAATGGATTGAATGTGAGAGGTAAGCATTCTTTTGGGACTAGTTAGAGACAGTAGGATGGGAGCATTCTGGGCTGTTGAGCGAGGTAGCTGGAGCCGTGGAGTGAGACTGGGAGGTGTCTTTCTGGCTGTAAGCGTGGCTTCCAGCAAGGTCAGCAGGCCTTGGACCGGGAGCACGTGCATGTCATCGTGCCTCCCCACAGAGTTGCCCTTCAGAACTGAGTTTCACTGGCCGCAAAGGCAGGTGAAATTTGAGCCATATATTGCCACCACTGCACTGCATGGACCTGAGCCCAGAAGGTCTCTGAGCTCTGCCTGGAAGATCTGGACATTGTTAACAGTTTAACATTCTGCCCGTCACTGCTCTGACATGTCAGCTGTCCTCTCCTCTGACTTTTTGAGTCTCGTTGGCAGTACTTGCTTGCCAGGTTGCCACAGCAGGTTTTGAAGAGGGAAGCTTGTCAGTCATCCTTGCCCAGTGAGTCCTATCTGCTGAGGGCTCCGACTTGGGAGTGTATGAGGAGCTGGGAAACATGTGGGTGCTAACAACTAACAACTAGTAGAGTTGGTCAGGTTTCTTACTGATACGGCATGTAAAGCACTTCTTAGACCCCCAGGAAATGTGGAAGGCGAAATGAGAGGGGAAAAACACACGCCATGACTGTTGGGCAGATTAGAATACTATTCCTAGCGCCAAACATTGCATACATTTGTCCAAATTAGGTTGTGGGTTGGGTGGCCAACTTATCTAACCAGATTTTGTCTTTTCTGTGATTGCTTTAAATGAGGACGTGGTGACTGGTTTAATAGCTCCAGCTGTAAATTGGGCCAACTTAAAAAAAAAAACTTCAATTACATGTAATTTTTTGATGTTTTTAACTACTACGAAATCATTTTTTCTTTTTCCACTAGAGCATACTGACAAACCAAATTTGCCTGATGGCAAGCATTTGTCTTCTGGTACTTACTTTATTCAGGCTTACATTTTTTTTTAATGACTTTTTCTTTTAAGATAATCTGACTTCATTTTCATTTTAGGTGGAAAGCCAGATGACATCACTGTCCTTCTTTCAATAGTGGCTGAGTATACAGACTGACTTGCCCCTTGCCGACCCCTGCCTTTCCTCCATCACCCCAAACTCTTCCCTGCTGTGTGTGTTGATCCTGCTGGCAGGACCACATTTCTTTGCCACTGATCTCAATGGCTGGTGATATTAGCCTTTTGCCTGTATTTTTGAGACCCCGTTGAGATCTTTGTTGAGAACCACTACTCTCATCCACTAGCTCATATCTGCCAGCAACATTTGAAGAGAATTGAGAGTTGAAGATTGGCCTTCATTTCTCCTTGTCCTATCCTGATGGGAGGGAGGTTTTGAAAGCCAGAATGGCGACTACTTTGCAAAAATGGTTCAAGTATTGAAAATGAGTAATGTTGGTAAGGTGAATTCAAAACTACAGTATGTAAAAGGGATTTTAAAAGTCATAACACAAATTGTATGTTGTGGTACATCTACTCAAAACATACATTATTCATCAAAGAAATGTTATACATGTACTATACAGTCTTTGTTACAATGATTGGGTGTGGCTTTGTGTTTTTATTATAAACTCCTATTTTTCAGGAGCTTATAATTCTGCTCTAAACTATTGCTCTGAGATGATGAAATCTTGATCCCAGGGGTTTTTTGTTTGGTTGTTTTTTTTTATAGATTGAAAGAAAAATTCAGCTTAGTTACATGGATGCAAATACTTCATGGTGGTTAAAAGATGTGTAATTGTGCTGATAAAAATGTATTGACTAGTACAAATCAGGCTGCTAGCCTGGTCTGCAGGAGGGGTGGAGGGAGGCTCCACCAAAAAAAACTTTAACAGACATACTACTCAAGATTGTAAGACTCCTCAAACCTAGAAATGTAACATCTTGGCTGAAATTCCTCCCAGCTGGCTGACACGATGCCCACCGCGCGGGAGTCCAGGCCCGAAGGCTGCGGGCTGGGAATGGACAGCTGAGACTTCGATTTTGTGGACTTCCTTGGTCATGCTACTCTGGGTCTCTCCTCCAGCCCTTTTCTTCGTAGCCTTGCTGTCTGCAGGGCAGGACCCAGGTTCCGGGAGTCCGTGGGAGAGTGCTGGGGGCGGCGCAGCAGCACAGGCGTCCGCAAGGAAAACTCCTAGTGATGGTCTGACATTTGCATTTGCCCCACACAGAAATTTAGGGATTCTGAGTCAAGCTTAATGTTTACAGTTTCCAAATAGCCATCTTGCAGTGTATAGTTTCCTTATAAAACTACCCTGCATTGTTTTCCCCTTGTCTGTACGCTCAGACTTATTTTTAAAGTTGTGTACAAGTCAACTGCTGTAAAGATATATATTTTTGGGTCAATTTTCCCCCCTTCATTAACTTGGTGGTAGAAAAGTATATACTTAGAAATCCTTAAATTAAAGCCATGTTTTATATATAAGTCAGGTAACATTGGTATATAGATGAGATTGCAATTAAACCTGATGAGAATCTACTTGAGGAGAATATATAGAAAGTCTTTCTCTAAAGGAGATACTTACTCCCTGGTTTATTGCATAAAACTTACGTTTGAGGTTACCTCAGTTTGTTTTAAAAAGATTTTGTTTTGTGGATTTGTACTGTATATTTGAGTAACTGTCAGGCTTTTGTTTTATTTAAAATTGTTTAACATGTACCATGTACATGTCATTACTATATTTCAATGCATCATGCTTGTAACAGGCATTTCATTTATAATAAGAATGAGTTATTCATTTGTAAGCCGTTCAGTAATTTATCTACTATTCCTAAATTGGCATAATGTTAGATATCTATTTTGAATCACCTTTAATCACATGTCAGAATGCCTTAACTACCCTAACTTGACAAAACTGAATTCTTTGGTAGAGGAGATGGGAAGGGAGGGCTGGGAGGGGGTCACTCTGTTTAAATAATGAGAACCCATCTGGCTGTGATAAAACACAGAAGCATGAGTGGCACATGGCGGGGTATTTATTTTGCACAAACTATTTGCAGTCTTTGTTTAAAAAGTAAAGAAAGTTGCATCCAGAAGGGTTTTGTTGGAAGGAGTACATTTATGCTTGGGCTGACAACTTCAGTTCATTTGTTTGGGTTTTTGATTATTTCTGGTCAGAGGTATGTATGTAGTTTTATGATCTGGACATATTTTCATTTTCCAACGCCTCCATTTAATTCCTGGTAAGAGCAGTGTTGGTCAGCTCACTTTCTTTGCTCACACTTGATGCATCAGACACAGTCTTTGTAAAGTTAGATTGGTGTTTCACACAACTCATTTTACCAGTTTAGTCCTTTTTGATGATTATTAGAAATCCACAATGTGTATGCTCAAGTGATGCTGAAAATAGTGGAACAAGAACCAAGTTTTACAATAAAACTGACTTTGGGCTTGGCTGATAGCTTAATGACACAAAATAGGCTCCTATTTTCTTTATTCCCTGTCTTTTTGATGTTACGCACTTGGTGTTATCACCACCGGGGTCACTGGGAGTGCTGCTTAGCAAGTGACTCTTTGCTCTCAGCGGTCAGACGCTCTGCTGGACCCAGCTGGGATTATCCAGGTCACAGGACCCAAGTCTCTGTGGGGTGTGACTGAGACATACCACTTGGCAGGTCTGATTTTGAACTCTGTGTGTGTGTGTGTGTGTGTGTGTGTGTGAATTGTATTTTAAATTCAGCAGTATAAAAACACATACATTTGCCTCATGTCATGAACTTTTATAAGAAGAGAAAATTTGGATTTCTAATTTACAAATGGCAAATTAATTATCCCTCCTGGATGCACCAAAGACCAGTAAAGTTTATAGCTTTTCCATCTATATTTATAAAGCAATACTGTATTATAAAAATCAATATTTTTATCACATGCTTGAAATTTTTATTTTGTTCTGTTTTAAAATGGGCACTCTAAACATATCAGAACCTTATTTCTTCCTGTGAACTTAAGCTGCCTGCGCACAAAAAATATATACCGAATGGAGATGCAGTAGAGTCCATAGGCTCTTAAAAACTGAAAGAAGAATGGGACGGCAGGGGGGCAAAGCAGGTTATTTGTCCTGAATCACTGTGCTGGCTTGACATGGTTGATGGGCACTGAGTCAGAACATCCATTCCAGGTGTGCATGGCTGGGGGCTGGCCTGCGTCTAGATTAGAAACTAGATCTCAAGCTTTGCGTGATGGGAGAGGTTGGGGCTCTTCTGTCGGCTGCATTTGTTCCGGCCAGAGCGGAAGCCTTCAGAGCCACCGTCTGCGCCACCACCACGCCAGGTAACTGGGGGTTTGCTAGTTGTGAGTTTGGGAGACTGTACAAAGATTGGGTAGAACTGTAAATGTTTGTACCTTTGAGTAAGTTCATGGTTCCTTGTCCCCTTATACCAGCTATCTTTGGTAGAAACTACAGCATCCAATTTCCCTGAAACTACCACATCTTTGCATTGAGCGAATTACAAATGTTGAAAAACCAAAACCTTCTTATAAAACTGAAAATATGAAAACATTTGGGTTCTATTTGTAAAATGTAAAATCTAAATTCCTTGCAGAATTGAACTTATACACTGAAATTCAAGTGTCCATGTCAAAAATTTAACTGCTAGCAGGTAGTTTGTGGTAAAGATGGCTGAGTAATGAAGTACATTTGACTTTGTGTATACTAATGAGCTGCTTTTTTTCTGTTGAGACTATCATCATTTGTCTTACCCAAGAGGCAATGACCTGAATTGGATGTCTGAATATAACTTATGCAGGAATAGTTCTGTAAATACATTTAAATAAACTGTAAAGATATTTAATAAATATAGTATTTATACTAATTTGTGTTTTCCTTTTAATTTGAAAAGGGACTAAATATTAGACACTGGCCTTTGACATTGAGTTTGTTGGTCTACAGCCAAGTCTTCATTTCTTAGTCCAGCATCCTTTGTCCTTTATAGCTCTCGTAAAAAACGGTGGTTTTACTAGTTTATCCACCTTATTAGCCTTTTCGTCTGCTGGCTTAATACAGCAGTCTGTAGATTCATCAAAAATGTGGCCTGGTAACTGAATGTAAGACCTGGGCCCAACAAAGAGGGCTTTGCGCCTTCCAGATGGCATGGAAAGAAGTCCCCGAAGTCCTGGAGGCGTAAACTTGGCGCTCTGTTCCAGATCCTGTCTTGAACAGGTGAGGGGGTCCAGGCCTTGCCTTGTGGTGACGCCTTCATAGCCGAGCCCCCCGCCCGTTCCCCTGCCCGAACCAGGAACTCTCCTCAGCAAGGAGAAGAGACGACAGTTACTCTGGTGTGTGAGTGTTCTCTGTGTAGTCGTCTGCATTTGTTAGAAATATGTGGAACTTGGTGATAACATCAGAGTAAGCGTAAAATACATAAATCTTCAGTCAACCGAGTGAAAAGACTTCTTGAAATGATGTGGGCATTGCCAGTTTCCACAAAAGCTTGCTGAAAGACCATTTTCATTCACTGAAGAACATTTTGGGATAAACTTGAGTTTTTATTAGGTTATTGTGGGAAGCTCTGAGTCATCACTAAGCTACAAGGGCCAACTTCATTCTGGTTTTATTAGGACTCTTCACAGTCTAAAGTTTATTAATCTATTCAGCCTTTGTTTGGGAATTCCTCACAAAATCTAACGTACAACTGTTCGTAAGTTGACGTTTCCTTGTGACTTCATGGTTTTACAAGGACCTAACAGTGCAAAGCTACAGAAGTCTAGTTTGTCAGGTTTTAATTGATTGTAAACAGGTTTAGGTGAGGAAAGGCACCATTGTAACATGTTATGTAACATCGGTTTTGTGCCAGATTTTGTAGCCTGTGCAGGTAAAGAGCTAATTCTTAAAGGGGCAAAGAACATTTATCTTCTACCTCCCTTCCCCTTCCACCCAGGAATTCTTAGCAGTGAAGGTGGCTGCCCTGTATCAGATAATACAGAAATAATGTTTGGCCTCATGCTCATTAGTTCTTTCAAGAGTTACACTGCAAATATAAAAACCACATTTGAAAATCAGAATAATTCAGGCTATGAAATAAAATTTTATGATCTGTAAAAATATTCAAACATGTGGGAGGTAGCTATGATATTTTTATTCTTGACTTTTTTTCAGGGGCTATTTTAAAAACCTTAAAATATAAAAACCAAAGCACAAAAAAAGGCATGACATTAAGTGAGAAAAGACTGCATAAGTTTTTACTATGTTTGAAAGCACCAACAAGCAAATGTTTGCAATCAAATACCAAACCTACCTACTTTCAAGTCGCAAAACTACAAGCCATGTTGACACACTCCAAGTGGCTACTGGAGTTGCCTTTATAAAGCCGGCAGAGCAAAGCGCTCCAGCGTGAGGGTAATGGGTCTAATGAGTTTTCCCTGCATAACTAACTCCTGCTCTGAAGTAGTACAGTGGACTTGAGTGAGTTACCTACACCTGACGAGCAGCTCGGGTTAGGTATGTGGGTATACAAGATGTTTTAAACAAGCCCATTCTCCATTTCAGGCGATCCGAGATAATTTCTAGCTTTATGTACTAAGTATGAGATCATGGTTGCGGTGCAACTGCCCCAGCAAATGGCCACCAGAGTGTTAGACTGCGGAGAAACTGCCGTTATTCGTGTCCTCATCACTGTCGCTCGCTGTGGCGAGACTCCCAAAAGGGTGGCTGCGGTGTTCTCGCTGATCAGGAGAAACGGCTCCAAAGAACATGCAAGAAAACTGGGGGAAAAGAGGAACTTGACTCAGTGAAAGCGAGTACTCAGTGCTCCCTTCAGTACACTGTCCCTATGGCCTCTGGCTTTGCGGGGGGCCCGGACGCCCACCCCCGAAAACAAAACCGCTGTCTTCAGGGGTGTGTTTTGGGGGTCAGTGATCTGCTTCTGACGCCTCTGCCTGGACCATCAGAATAAACCCCAGGGCTACGGGCAAACTGCAAGCTCCGCTCCGCCCCACCTCCCCTAGCCAGCAGCAGCCCTCCGGCCTCAGCACCAAACGATGGTCTCGTATTTAAAATACGTCAAGAGCCTCATCCCACTTTCAGACATCTGCTGGTGGCGCTCTGTGCTTGTCTCCATTCTTCTTAGTTCCCCAGTTCTACCTTTAAAAGCTGCTGGCGCCCGCTGCGCACCCCTCTTCCCCCAGAAACTTCTTAGTTTGGTCGCCAGAAATTGCCACAGCCTTAAGCCCATGACAGTGTTCATTCTTCACGTGAAAGTGCCTTTCTTCCACACCTTCCTCCTGCCACACTGCCCAGCTGACCCAGCCTCCGGCACAGGATCTCTCGTCCTCCGCTGCTCAAGTTTGAGGCCTGAGGAGTCTTTGGGGTGGGATGTCCTGTGCATGGGGGATGTTGAGCAGCAGGCTCCCGTCCAGCGTGTGACAGCCCACAGTGTGTCTGGTCATTGCCCAATGTCCCCCGTGGGCGTACTCGCCCCGGCTGAGAACCACTACTTTACATGACTGAAACGAATCATCTCTGCCAGGAGGTCTGGAAGCTGGAATTGGGATTTCATTCCATCCATTCTACTTGTTTGCTGCAACATCCAAAACTGAACTCGAGGTCTTAGTGTGCACCGAAGCTGTTTGATCACACCAGAGCCATCCTCCATCTTCCCTGTCACCCCACACAGCCACTACCGCCTTTATAGACACAAATACAGGCAGTCTGAATATAATGGTGCAGACAACTCCATTTATAACAGCAACAGAGAAGGTAAATTTAAGTTCACTGAGGAGTAAACTTAAATATGTAAAAGTTACCACAGAAAAACTTTGAAACGCTCCTGAAGAGACCAAGTAGATCTGAACAGTGGAAGTGCGCTGCCTGTTTGTGCACAGAGTGATGCAACAGTTTAAAGATGTCAGTTTCCCCCCATTTTAACAGAAATTTGAGGAAACTCCAATAAAAGAAAAACCAGATTTTTTTCTTAATGGAGCTAGATTAAGTTGCTATTAAAGTTCAAGTGAGGGCCCGCCCTCATGGTGCGCGGGTTAAAGCCAGCACTATGAAGCCAGCCACAGCCACTGCAGCACAAGGTTGATCCCCAACCTTGGAGCTGACCCACAGGGCGCAGCAGACCTCTCCTGTCACCCCTCTGCTCCCCTCAGCAGTGGACTTCCTCGATCTGCCTGTTCTGCTCCCACTCTGCCTCTCTGAATCCTTTCACAGCCCCTGCACCTCTGGCCTGTCTGCCAGTTCTGTATGTATAAATAAGTAAACCTTTAAAAAAAACAAAACTGAAGGGATATAAGAACAAAGAAAACAATGAGACTATTCATAGTAATGAAAATTAAATGTCTTTACATACATGAAAGGATGTTCAACCTCATAACTGGAGAGATGGAGGTTAAAACTACTCTGAGGGCCCTCCCTGGTGGCGCAGCGGGTCACAGCACAGCACTGAGAAGCTAAAGCCGCTTCCGCGTGAGTTCGATCCCCGCCTGCCCCGGAGGTGACCACAGGGCGCCGCAGACCTCTCCTGACCCGCCTGCTGCTCCCCTCAGCAGTGGACTTCGTCATCTGCCTGTTCTGCTCCCCACTCTGTCTCTGGGGAAGCCTCTCGCTGCCCCTGAGTTTCTGGCCTGTACCCCAGTTCTGTATGCACAAACAAATAAATCTTTAAAAAAAAAACACAACAAAAAAAACCACTACTCTGAGATTCTATTTCGCAGCTATTAGTGTGACAACATAGGGTGTCTGCCAGAGTGGAGACTGGAGAAAACAGACCCTCTGTCTATTGCATGAAGAAAGCCGACGGCCCCTTTGGAGAGGAATCCAGTAACACCTAACAGGACCACATATGCACTTAAGAAACTTACGGAATTTGCCTGAAGATACACTTACAACATAGGAAAGTGTATGTGCAAAAGGCATTGGTTGAAGCTTTGTAACTGCAAAATACCCCGGAGGTGAGAGTGAAGGAGTCTAAGAGCGCGGTTGAGTTAGCGGTGGCGCATTCCCACACCCCACACTACACAGCTGCTGAGGGGAAAAGTGAGAGACTGACACGGAGCAATTTCCAGAAACACTGTCAAGTGCAAAAAGCAAAGCGGAAAACAGCACTAACAGTATAAGGAATAAAAAAAATATGTATCTGCTCATTTGCGCAAAAAGAAACATGGTAAATGAGGAGCTAATGAAACATTCTCCTGAGGTGCCCTGCGCACAGGGCGCAAGCAGGGAGGGGCTTAGCGCAACAGGAAGCCGGCAAACCCTCCCAGTCTGATGGTCCCAAAGACAAGGACGGCGCCCAAAGCTCCAGGGTGACATCAGCAGACCGGAAGAAAAGACTAAGTAACCTTTGACATGCAGCATTTGAATATATGCTTTAGAGCTGAAGACAATAATATTCCTAAATCTCGAACCGCTAATTAGCAGGTTTGTTTTTCCAGGGGTGTAAGTTAGCAATCTTGAAACTATTAGAACACTTCCAAGAGGACGGAAAGTAAGTAAATATATTGTGGGTAATAAGAGCCAAGTTTCTCTTTGAAACACAAAAGGGTTGTAAGTTAGCAAAGTGGAGAGGCCGGCAGGGACCCGAGGGGACTGAATTCGGGTTGAAAGCATCAGTATGAATTAATGGGTGTGTGCGCATGTATATTTGCAGATACGTCTGTACACAAAGTGGCGTGTATGTGTCAACAAGTACCTGTATTTCCTTCCTCTTAAGAGAGCTTAGAAGAAATGAAACCCCAGTACAGAGAGCATCCCTAGTTCCCAGGAACGACTTCTGTTTACTATCTCCAGTCGGAGAAACCTAGAGAAATGGCTGATTCTGTGGCTGGCACAGGAGAGAGGCAAGTTAAGACTAGAGCACTTTCAGGTTCCAAGAGTAAGGAAGAGCTCAAAAAATGTTGGAGACATGTCAAAGGAACACAGGCACCAACCTGAAAAGACTCCCAGCAGCCTTAAGCATAATTGAATAACAAATAGTGAGGAAGGAAAAATTCTTAACATAGTCTTTCCTCTAATAAAGAGGGGGAAAAAGTAAAATCACCATTTGACAAACATCACTGTAGAAACTATTTTAGATTTAAAAATAGTAAATAAGCAAAAAGTGATGAGAAACAGAATATTTATATAGTCTCAAAGCCTCTTGCCACAAAACCTTCACTAATTAGTAACAGAAAAACAGGAACTCTCCAGTGGAGAGATGGGCAAGCGACAACTTCACCCGTCCAAGAGGGAAGTTAGGATCATCCGAGGGGGAGACGAGTCACTGCGAGCCTCCCAGCAACAAAGCATGACAACATAGCATACTCTTGTATTTTCACCAAAACACAGAACCTAAACTTAATCAGAGAAAAGCCAGGAGAAAAGTCAAATTCAGGGAAGGACAAGAAAGACAAAGGAAGGCTTAGAAAACTGTTCCCGGCTGGAGGAGACGCTGCTAGCCTGTGGCATTGACGTGCTCCGAACAAAGGACTTTGGGAAATCATTTATACCAGTTGCACAAGTGAGTCTGAATCTATTTCAAATTTTTTAAATTAAAAACTGATGTGTAGATGTGCTACTGTGTGCAAATGCTTGCCTAAGAAACACCTTTAAAAGGTAGAGTACAAAACCAACTTGTGATTGCTTCTGATTTTCTCTTATTTGTATTTCCCAATTTTTCTCCAGTGCTAATTGTACTGTTGCATAAAATGTCAGAGAAGGGTATATAGGTATGTAGGAAAATTGTTTCGCGATTTTTAAAAATGGCATTATTTTAGAATGAAAAGTTAAAACTAACAGAAGTGAACAAAGGAAGTAGGCCGTATTACTGTAAAAGATTTATAAGCACTGTAGTGCCTGCTGCATTAGTCTGCCCACAGGAGATGGCCTCTGGAGGGCAGGCCTGACTGTTCATCAAGAGATGCCGTTTACAGTCACACGCGGCTTGCACAACCAGTGCTGGCCTGAGAGGATACCTACCTGCTATTCCTGGCATAGGGGAGGAGGGAGGACAGGAGGAGGCCTGGTGAAGTTTGTATTAAACACCCCAGGGAAGCCCCAGAATGAGTAACCAGTGCAGTGCGAGCAGCAAAAACGCTCCAAGGTTTTCCAAGCCAGAAAGGGACCGTAGCAGTGACTAACATCTAAGAGCACTGACTGTGTATTATAACTCTTACATTTCTATTTACTGGCTGTTACTATCATCCCTATTTTACTGATAAAAATAAACCAAAGTAAATGTAAGTAGCTCGTTCCAGTCACACAGCGACAAAGTGGCAGAACAGGGACTTGCACCCAGAAATCCAAAGCCGGTGCTTTGCATCCCCATGTCTCACTGCAGATGTAAGGTTTGCACAGAATCTCCTCAAGACACTGTGGGAACAGGGTGGAGGAGAATGCAGGTGTGGAGGCCAACGGGAAGGCTCACTGTGCTTCAGGTAAATGACTTTCCCATAATGTAATTTCAGTTCTGTAGGCGTTTACCACATCAAGTAAGGTAACTAGCTACTTTTGAAAACAGATCTTTCTCACTAGAACTTTCGTGGCATCTAGGCAATTTGAAGAAGAGTGCAACTCCTGCAGTTCTTCACCAAAAGAGCTTACAGTTCATGTCACTTTTCTTGGTGGGGAAACTGGCCCTCTTAAGGAAAATTCAGGGAGGGGAAACCACAAGAAAATATCTTGAATTTATTGCACAATATGTGTCATTGAAAAACCAGGAAGTGGAAAAGCTTTTGTATAATGAAAAGAGATTGTAGTTTTCTCTTTAAGGTCAAGCTAGTCATTCGGAAGAGAGAATTCCCCTACGCGCAGGGCATCCCACAGGACATCTATGAACTTACCCATCAAGCTGAACGGTGAGTGAAGGCTGCTATCCTGAACGTCTTCAATACAGCATGAGATAACGACCTAAAAGTATGTCTCCTTTCAAATTTCTAATTCTAAGAAATTTGTATTTCCAAGTCAGTAATAATAGCAGCAGCAAAAAAGCTTGAATAAAACATTAATGTAAACTGCAAACGCAGACTATCTCTGAGACATTCTAAATTCTAATGACTCATGTGCATCTTCAATAGATTTCTTAAGGCTTAACACTACTGCATTCTGTGAAGCTTATCTCCCTCTTGTAAAATGTTGGTAATATAATGTGTTGTTAACTCGGATGTTATTAAGTAGGAATTTGTGATGTTTTGGGAGGTGAAATTTACGTTCGTACTAGTAGGAGCAAAGATTTCCCAACTAAATTTGAAAAACAAGAATAGAAAACATGTTTGCATGTGCTATCCACGTCTCCCAGCTCCATTCGTTAAAAAGGCTGCCTTTAGGAAACATAGAAAGCATTTTATAAAACAAATTGTGTGATTTTAGCATATTATTTGTATTCAAAGATAAACTGTATTCTGAGCAATAACTTATTGTTAAAAACAAGTGGCCCAAATCTCTACTTGAATGTACATTGTTAGAAATTACTACCTCGGCGATGTAGTTATTTTGGATCGACACTCTATAAATTGGTCTTTTCTGCACCCAGACTGGCTCCACCTCTCTCCTGTGAGAAAGTAGAGAGACTGGTTTTCAGATATTGGGGTGGCTGGAGCAGGAAGACTGCAAGGGAGGCGAGTGATGAGAGTCCTTGACGAGAGCTGGTCAGGCCCAACTTCCCCCCTTACCTTCCTGAGGTAAGGGGAGCCAGGCGCTTCCTCCGTGTCGCTGACGCTGCTTTCTGCAACTTCACAGACTTCTCCCATTGTCTTTTTCACTGCTGGGCTGCCACAGTTTGCCAGTGCAGACACTGGGGGTGTCTCTGTAGGACAGAATCTTTTAGCTGTTGTTTTTCTTGCTATATACTCTGGTGTGGCCTTGCTGGTTACATTTTCACCAGTGTTTGAATTTGAACGTGGCAGATCAGACCTGAAGTATTGATATGGATTAAATGAAAGAATTGTTTGCTCTGAAATACCTTATTTTTTTAATTGTGAGGGTGATCCACATGGCGCGGCAGACCTCTCCTGACCTGCCCGCTGCTCCCCTCAGCAGTGGACTTCGTCCATCTGCCTGTTCTGCTCCCCACTCTTTGAATTGTCTCACCACCCCTGCACCTCTAGCCTGTACCCCAGTTCTGTATACATAAATAAATAAATCTTAAAAAAATACAAGATGGACAAAATGAAAAACCTGAAAGACAGGAGCTAAATGTTAATAGTGTCGATCTCTAGATGCAATTATGGGTGAGCTTCATTTTATTCTTTTCTGCACTGTCCAAATTTCCCATGAATTTTCTTACTTCTATAGTGAAGCACTACTACTCCCATAAAGTTGAGTAAAAGAAGGAAAAGCAATGCCTACCACCACGACTGTAAAAAGCTAGTTCTAGCGAGTAACACAGATATCTCCATGAATCCTAACACTGTATCAGTCCCCAAAAACAATTACTAAAGATGGAAATGAGTTTGGGCAATGACTGTGGTAATCCACACAATCCTGTTAAATTCTGAGCTTAAGAGAAAAAAGTATCTAATGTAAGACTGGTGATAGCTCTATGTAGTATATGTTAGGTTTTACAATAGCTCTTCCTGCTTCAGTCAAAATATCTGAATTTCTTAAATTTTACTCAGTTGTTTCCTAAATGAATGCCACTGAATTATTTCAGAATAACATAGCAATAACTTACGCCCAACCAATAAAGGCATTAAAATACGGCCTCACCTTTTTCGCTTTTGTGAAAGACACGACGATTGTGGAGAAGATGCTCTGCTTGGCTCATCAGCCAATGTAGCCAAAATAAAGTTAGCTTCCAATAACATATCGTTAATACTTAGAGCCATAGGTCTAAAAAAAAGGCAGAGTCAAAAGAAACATCACATTTTCTGATGAACACTGGGAAATATTAGAAAATAATAACTCAGGAGTAAACACAAACATTGAAGGTGGAAGTCCTTTTTATCTTTTCACAAATTAACACAGTCCTAGGAGTTGAAGACCCCAAGAAAGCATCAGGCCCAATTTCATAAAATAGATCTATCTTTACCTAATCTCATTTGAATTTTAATTCTGAAGTATATGAAGTATCATAGTGTTAAGAGATTTAATTTGTCTAAGCTTTGTGGAGTTTCCTAATTAGGCAATTTATTCAGCACCATGTCAAATGTATGAATGCTTTCACTCTATAGCCCAGATCTTTTTCAATCAAATTATTAATTAAAAAGTGCCATGTTATGACATCTTTCAAAATTTTAGCCTGATCATTGCTACTAGTAACATTAAGAAATCCCTGAGGTTAGAATTAATTTCAAAGTGACCCAAATACTTATTATTGATATATTACAAAAGGAAAAGAAGAATCTCAGAAAGTTCCAAAGGACCTACTTCCCAGGAACGTCAAAATGAATAGATACAGGAGCATGTACAGCTTCTGAAAATGTCAGCATTCCCTGAAAGAAGAAAAATACTTGCAATGTTTATTTGAAAAAAAGTAAAACTTTTAATTTGACACAAGTTTTGTTTACCTTCAGTTCCTTGAAGCAAAATGTTATTTCAGTGTCAACTCCAATTTGAAAGATGTCAAACTCGTCTGGCCCAACAAGCATCTCACTGTACAGAGAATTGGTCAAATCTATTCAATTTTTTGTAGGAAAATAAAGAACAAAATTAGTTCCGGAGGTATTTGTTTTTTTTTTTTTTGTTATATTTTAATACAGAATTATAACCTCAAGTGTAGGCTAAAAGTAAACAAATATTTTGACAATTTCATTGAGAGGTGAGGTCTGATTATGTCTCCCCCTAGAATCTGGGTGGTTAGGTGCTCTGACTGTTCTGACCAGTGGGTCAGATATGGTGAGCAAACGGGTACTGTTTACTGGGAGCAGGCCTTAAGAGGAAGAGGCTAGCAGCCTCCACTCGGTCTCTATCCACTTCATGGTCTTGTACAGTCACTCCTGGAACTCAACTCAATTTTTTGGATCTCTTAAAAATGTAAATGAGGGTGGCACAGCGGGAGTTCGATCCCCACCTGCCCCGAGGAGATCCACATGGCCACAGGGCGCGGCAGACCTCTCCTGATTCACCTACTGCTCCCCTCAGCAGTGTACTTCATCAATCTGCCTATTCTGCTCCCCACTCATCTCTGGTGAAGCCTCTCACCCTCTGCATTTCTGGTCTGTACCCCAGTTCTGTATGAATAAATAAATAAATCTTTTTTTAAAAATGTAAGTGAGGGCCTGCCTGGTGGCCTAAGGTGTTAAGTTGCAGTGCTATGAAGCTATCTGCAGCCACTGCAACGTAAGTTCGATCCCTAACCAAGAGTTAACCCATATGGCGCAGCAGACCTCTCCTTCTCATGCCTGCTGCGCCCCCCCAGCAGTGTTCAGTCGATCTGCCTGCTCTGCTCCCTATTCTGTCTCTAGTGAATCCTCTCACCTGCCCACTCCCCCAGCCACCTCTGGCCTACACCCCAGCTCTTATGAGCATAAATAAATAAAATAAATCTTGTAAATTATCTTACTACATCTTATAACATTTTTTAAAGATTTATTTATTTATTTATCCATGCATGCATGCATAGAAGAATTGGGGTATAGACCAGAGGTGCAGGGGTGAGAGGATTCAACAGAGACAGAGTGGGGAGCAGAATAGGCAGATGGATGAAGTACACTGCTGAGGGGAGCAGCGTCAGAGACAGTAGAGGTCTGCTATGCCATATCCCGACTGGGATTAAACTCAGTTTGCAGAGGTGGTAGCCTGAGACTTAACGTGACAAGGTAGGTCCCCACTTAATACATTTTAAACAAAAATAAATATTATGCCACTAATATTTACTGTATGTTTAATAATCCAGAAAGTCAGAAATAGTGTTCCATCAAAACACTGATAGATATAATCCTTACCCATTGATTCCTCATTAGAACTCTTAAGGCAAACATTTAGTGGAGTAACAGCAAGGGTAATTTCCTCTTGACTCGATGTAAAAAGAACAATTGCATCAGCAAGCACTCTATAAAATGTAAAGGAAAGTAATATATTGTTTCAAAAGCATAAATGATCATATTGTCCACCTGTATAAATGAAATCTTTCATCTGTAAAAAAAATAAGTTACTGGTATAGAGTCAGGAAGGTGTACACGAGGCCTGCTGGGCTGCCATATTAGTAGATTCTAAAAGTGTAGCTGCATTTGGCGGGTAAGAGAATAGTAAAGCACATTCTTAGTAAAATACGTGAAAGCTACAGAACAAAATGTCTTTAAGTCGATGTTTTTATGCCAATATAATTTTTAAAAATTGGCCTGGGCTCACTTCCTAAGAGACCAGAGCAGGGCACACTTGGACTAGAGCAGGGTGAACATTCCTGGCGCCCCAGGGGAGGAGGGAGGAGGCTTGTACGTGGGCAGCTGCTTCTGTTCTTTCCCTCTGTTCCCACTAGAGTATTAGCTGCACTGTCAATGTCATGTTGCCACCCTGATGCCCCTTCATTCCAGCTTCCCTTGATTGAGATGTAATTAACAATGATACAATTCACAGACCTCACGGTGATTTACATTGGCCTAGTGACCAAGGGTGTCCAGCATTTGCTCATGCACTTAAGTCACATATTCTTTCTAGGGAAATAAAGGTCCGTTTAAACTCATTTTTATTTAGGTTACTTGTCTTTACTATTGTAAGTCTGGACGACTTTTGAAATTGAGGTGTTGTTAGATAAAAATGAGATTCTTAGAATTTTTGTAATGTTTGTGTTAGCCTGATGCTAGTGTTTCTTGATGCCAAAATATCAGGAACATGACCAACTTCATCTGGGATGTTTCCTGTTAAGGGGCAGGTGTTGTACAAAATACCAAATAGCCTGATACAAAAATGACAAGGTACGTATGCAATTGAAAAAGGAGGAAAAATACACATTGCAATTAATACATGAAAAAATGCTCAAATGTCCTAATAATAACAAAGAAGATCTAACAATGCCATTTTCTACCTATCAGGTTGGGAAAAATTTTAAAGATCAATCATATCCTTCCTTCACTTAGAAAGATTCTCCTATGCGTTTGGTAGGAATGTAAATTGGCACGAACTTTACAATTTTGCATGTTAGTCAATATGCATGCAAATTTTAAACTAGTCTAAGTTTAACCGGCAGTTTCATTTCTTTTTTTTTTTTTAAAGATTTATTTATTTGTGCATACAGAACTGGGATACAGGCCAGAGGCTCAGGGGCGGCGAGAGGCTTCACCAGAGACAGAGCGGGGAGCAGAACAGGCAGATCTACGAAGTCCACTGCTGAGGGGAGCAGCGGGCGGGTCAGGAGAGGTCTGCCGCGCCATGTGGTCACCTCCGGGGCAGGCGGGGACCGAACTCAATGCGGAAGCGGCTCCAGCTTCTCAATGCTGTGCTCCAACCCGCTGCGCCACCAGGGAGGGCCACATTTCTAAAACTTACTTTGGGTAGCTTAGAAGATGGCCCCCAAGGTCATCCCCTTCTCCTTAATAGGGGCTTGGCCTGGAGCTTTGCTTCTACAAAAAGGGCAGAAGTGATGAGACGATAGTGGGAAGTCCCCCATCTCGGTGCGTGTGTCTGCGTGTGGCGGCCAGCCGCCATGTGGTGAGGACACTCAGACAGTAGGGAGACGTGCTTGTGGGGCAGCGAGGCTGAGCAGCCCATGCGTACGCTTCGGAAGTGGATCTTCTGCAGTCTCTTGCCTGCCACGTCAGTGAGCGTGAAAGTGAATCTCCCATGTCCAGCATTTAGATGCGATCACAGCCCTGGCTGACAGCTTAACTTCAACCTCAGAGGCCACAAGTCAGAAGCCTGCATCTGAGCCATACTTACTACTATGAAGTAATAGCATGTCCTTTTCTAAAATTGGGGAAATTTGTTCCACAGCATTAGATAGCTAATACACTATCCTATGTACTACTGGGAGCATTGTTTGTGAGAGCAAAAGTTGGGAAAACCTACTTTTTCAGTAACAGGATAAGAAGTAAGTATGATGGTTAAGTCACACAATGAAAACCTATGCAATCGTTAAAAAGAATAAGGATTTAAGCGAACTGATAGAAGATTCTAAAAGCAAATTGCCAAACAAGAATAGTGGGGCATTTTCCTTAGGGGGAAAAAAAAAGCTTAAGTATGTATTTAATATGTGATATAAACTTGAGAGACAGAAATAGACATCCAGAAGCCAGAGGAAAAAAGAAGAGTGACAGACTGGCTATACATAGGAAATGCTCCAGATTGACATACATCAAGCTCTTCATAGCTGCTACCCATGCCCGCCAGAGGCATGGAATACGGAAACAAACTTAATCTCCTTTACAAGCCTCTGTACATTTTAGACATAGTGCAGGGGTCATATGTTGCTTCTGTAATTTAAAAATCTTTTGGCTCACAAAATAATTAATGTTTAATGCTAACTAAAAAATTGGGTGCATTTTCACTGACAAATAAGCCCAAGTCATTCTCTAGATAAAAAAACAAAGACAAGACCACTTAGGGATAAAATTAGTTTATAGCAAAAATGTTAAAATTTCGTTGAGCTGTGTGTTTTAAGAATGACAGAAGGCATTATAGAAGTGCAAAAAAAAAAATGATCAGGCAGTATATATTTCTCTTGGTATCACTTGCTGTAGAAAGCCACTAATGGGATATTTTAGAAAGTTCTTAGCCACTGAATTATTATGGCTACCATTAGACAATTATCTGCTATTACCTCTCTCAAGGTTTCAGCTTGACCCTAGAACATAGTTTCTCCAAGTCAAGTGCTAGCTTTAAAAAAAACGTTACTTATTTAAAAAAAAATTTATAATAGTTTATTTATATATATTTTTGTGCATTTTTCCATCTCAGTTGCAATCCCCTTGGGCTTCCCATCACCAAATCACCCGTGTGCCTTCACCATAGTCCATTGCATTTCCCTCCCCCCACTGTTTTTGATCCCATACCCCATGCCACCCCCAGAAAATGTCCTCTGGTATATAGTTGTTATAGTCATATTATTATTATTTTCTTCCCTGGTCCTTTATACTCCTGCTATGAGTGAAACCATCCGGTATTTTTCCTTTACTTTCTGGCTTATCTCACTAAACATGATCTTTTCCAGCTCCATCCATGTTGCTGCAAAAGACATGTGTTTCTTTTTTTTTTTTAGTTGCTGAGTAATATTCCATTGTGTATATGTAAAAAAGGTTACTTATTTTAAAGCTCCAGGGCATTAATTTTTTTTTTCCTTTTCGACCACACTATAGTAAAAAAAAAAAAAAAAAGAAAAGAAAAATAACAGAATCCATTACCTTGGCTGAATCATTAGTGTATTAGTGCACATATTCTTTTCAAAAATAACTTGCAAAGGTTGACTTTCTTCAAAACACACATTATGAGTTCTTTTAACACCTTAAAAAGAGTAAAGCAACCTATTAATTCTAAGTTTAAAATGAACAGATTTAAAAGCTTTTAGGTTTCACAAACTAAAATAATAAAATTAAAGTAACACTATGGGCCTCCCTGGAAGCACAAGGGGTTAGGGTCAGTGCTCTGAAGCTCCAGCAGCCACGGCAGCATGAGTTTGATTCTCAGCCAGGGAGGGGACCCACATGGAGCAGCAGGCCGCTCCTGTTTCTCTGCTGTTCTCTTCAGCAGTGTGTTTCCGTCTGCTGGTTCTGCACCCCTCTATCTGTGGTGGATCCTTTCATACACAGCCCCCCACACCTCTGTCCTACACCCCAGCTCTTGTATGCATAAATAAATATTTAAAAAATAAGGTAACATTTGCTATCCAGCAGAAGCACCGTTCCTTAAGAAAATGTGTTTACTGCCCCCTAGTGGGCACCATGCAACAAGCCACAACCCCTGCTCATACTGGCCCAAGAATTCCCAGATTGTTTGGAAATACACATAATTATTGAAATTGTGTGTAAAATAGTGATTGCTCACAACAGATTACATATGTATGATTTTAAACGTATTTCTATCTAGGACTTTTGAAATTAGGCCTGAATTCTTTCCCTCTGAAATCACTCCCTTTTGTTCACTGGACATAAGAGGTGAGGCTCTCACTCCTGACTGTGAAAGAACAGCACGTAGGCAAGCCGCTGCTGGAAGTCATCTTATCATTACTTTATAACAAAAGCTGGACTCAGGATAAAAAACATGTAGGAAAGTAGAGCTGAGAGAATTTTTTAAAGAATAAGAAAAAGAAGCAGCAGCTGCGCTGCCTGGATTAAGCCAGACTATGACCTACCCCATTTAAAAAAAAGATTTACTTATTTATGCGTACAGAGCTGGAGGACAGGCCAGAGGAACAGGGGGCAGGGAGAGGATTCACCAGCGACAAAGTGGGGAGCAGAACAGGCCGACTGATGAAGTACTGCTGAGGGGAGCAGCTGGGGAGGGTGGGGGGGTCAGGAGAGTTCTGCCGCACCATGTGGTCACCTCCGGGGTGGGGATCGAACTCATGCTGCAGTGGCTTTAGCTTCTTAGTGCTGTGCTTTAAGCTGCTGTGCCACCAGGGAGGGCCCAGATTATCCCATTTAACAGAGAAAAAATGAAGTAAATATGTGTATATTAAACTCTTAATAAAAGCATCAACAGAAATGTAAAATAAAGTTGGGAAATGTAAAATAAATTATAATACTAAGAAGACCTTGCATAAGACTACTCACTACAGAAAATGATTTAGACCTGTAGTCTAAATACCATAGTCTGTAAAGCATACAATTCTGTTAACTTCAAATAAAATAGCAATCACATAGAAAGAATGTGCCAGGGACTCTTTTAAACATCTTAGAGCTATCACTTCCTAAAGTTCCTTGAATCTTCATGAAAATGTTAGGAGTCTGGCACTAAAACTGTTCTTGTTTTACATATTGAGACACTGAGTCACAGAGATGTCAAATAATTTACTCAAGGTCTCAGCAAGGAAGAACTAGAGAGAATTCCACTCCAACCTGTGGTGCTCAGGTCTATCCTCTTATCAACACACTACGTATATTTAAACATGGAAGTCGTATGAGTATGATATTTGAGTAGCTGCCATGTGAGGGTGGAGATCTGTTTTACAACTGGGTGTAGCAGAGTGACTGAACGAAGGCTTTGGATCCCAGCGCTGTGGCTCAAGTCCGGGTTCTGCAGCTTACCAGCTTTGTGCCCTTAGGTCAGTTACTACTCCTTTTTGGGGTCAGATATAATACTGTCTCCTACACAGCTTTCATGACAGGTGGCCATTCTTTTTCTTAACAGGGAACATTTGTAGTTTAGTCCAAATACACAGAGCACCAGTTTATCTTAGGACAATTATTTGAATTGAAATGGACATTTAAAAAAATTGTATGCAGGAAAAGTTTTTGCCACTGAAAAGTTAAAAATACTCAACCACAAAACTAAGCATACTTAGTAAAAATACTCATAATACTCAACCACAAGACTAAGCAAATTCTAAGCAACAATGCCTTGAGAGGTCTTGACATGCCTCTGAAATATTCTAAATGTAAGAAACATAAGACATTAACAGAGTCTAACCTGGACTCTCAGGTTTTAAATGTTAAAATTATTTCATCTTTTTAAAACTAGTTTAAATTATACCTACCATGTTTGTAGAAGAACTGAATAACTACTTTGCATGTATCAGATCTGGTGAATATTTTGCATCTCTCTACATTTCTTTCGAGGGAATTCAGACATCTAAAGATGGGCAGGATTGACTGTAACACAAATACATTTTAGAACAGTATAAACTTAATATGGTGGTTTGATTTGTTTTAAAAACTGACAAAAGAAGAACATGTAGATTTATAAAGGAATAGATTTGTTTTGCAAGCCATTTAAACCAAGCATTAAGTATAGATGTTACATCTCACAGAACAGGTATTTCTATAACAGAAGACAAAACCCTTGTCAATTATATTTACTTTCATTCCCAGTTTGCAATTTAAATTTGATGCTTTATCATTATCATTCATTTTCGCTGGGGTTGTCCATTGATAATGTTGAAAAAACACAGGAGAGAAGACGATACATCCATATGCTGACCGACAGGAATTCACAGATCTTAGAGCAAGCTGGAAAAATTAAATTATAGCCATTTAGGAGATCAACTTCCTTCAAATGATTAATTTAAAAAATTATATATAACATCACAATTAAATGTGTTTAAAATGCGTGCATATATGTGCTAAATTTCACAAATACATTATAAAACATACAGTATGGACTACATTTACAGTGTATATTGAATTTACATGTGTACATACATGTATGTGTCTACATTGAGTACACAGAGGCATGACATCTAAAATCTTGCATGCTGACATGATAAAATTTTAAAGCCTACATGGGCCTTAACTTCAACATACAAAGTGGCAGAAGGCAAAATAAAAGGTAGTAAAAAGATTGCAGCAGATTATAAAAAGTGACAAACCGATACTCAGCTTCAACCAACTACAGTCATGGGATATGGGCCCAAAATTATCAGGTCTTATGAGTTTTCAAGAGATGCAGGAAATTTGGGTTTTTGTGTGGACTCTCAAATTTTTAAGTGTTAGAATTCATTTCATTTGTTTAAAAAAGCACAGTGCTACTGCTGGTGGGAATGCAAACTAGTACAACCACCATGGAAAACTGTTTGGCAGTTCCTCAAACTGCTAAAAATGGAGCTTCCATATGAAGCAATCCCACTTCTAGGTATCTACCCAAAGGACACAAAAACACTGATTCAAAAGACACCTGCACCCCCAAGTTTATTGCTGCTTTATTTACAGTTGGAAAGACATGGAAACAACCCAAATGCCCAAAAGAAGATGACTGGATTAAAAAGATGTGGTACCTGTACACAATGGAATATTACTCAGCAACCAAAAAAAGAAACACATGTCTTCTGCAGCAACATGGAGGAGATCATGCTTAGTGAAATAAGCCAGAAAAAAAAAGGGGAAATACCAGATGGTTTCACTCATGGCAGGAGTATAAAGGACCAGGGGAGAAAATAATAATAATAACAATGAATAACTACATACCAGAGACATTTTACGGGGGTGGAGTGGAGTGGGGAACGGGATCAAAAATGGGGGTGGGAGGAAATGCACTGGACTATGGTGATGGCACACGGATGAACTGGTGGTGGGAAGCCCACGGGGATTACAACTGAGATGGAAAAAGGCACAAAACGATGTAAAAATAAACTATTACATTATTTTTAAAAATTACAACTTAAAGAATTAAATAGCAAAGCAAAGATTAAAAAAAAAAAAAAAGCACAGTGCTAGTCCTCCCCCTGCCCCCAAATCTGCAAGCCATCTCTAACTTCTTGAACACCAGTTTGTGGTTTCTGGTTTAAATTGTGTTTACCTGCCTGGTTATGTCTACTAGGCTCAACATATATCATTGTTATCAAATGGTGTCAGGCCTCCCTGGTGGCACAGGGGTTAGTCTCAGCACTCTGGAGCTCTCTCCAGGCACTGAGATAATGAGTTCAATCCCTAGGCAGGGAGCTGACCCACATGGTGGGTCTAGCCCACTCTCCCCTCGGCAGTGACTTCAGTAGATCTGCCTGTTCTGATGCCCTCTGTGTCTCTGGTGAATCCTTTCCCCCACCCCACACCTCTGGCCAACACCCCCATTTTTGTATGCATACCTAAATAATTCTTTAAAATAAATAAAATCAAAATGTTAAAGAAGGGACAGTTAAAATTTCTGTATTTCTTAGTTAATATTGGTCTGGACAGGGATCTTTAAACATCTTTTGCCTTAATAGAGGTTAACTTTATTACTTACACCTTGTTCAGATGGATCTAGCCACAGCTCATCACTAATTCGTGAAAGAGCTTGGATTGCTTTTCCAAATACTGTGGAGAAAAAGAAAGGTGCAGTTTACATTCTTTCTAATAATAAGAACAAATCATAGGACTACGTTGCCATTCAGACAAATCCACAAAGAATAGTTTCCTGCACTGCTACAATGCTGTAAGAAATGCAGAACAGGGATCTCCCTGGTGGCGCAAGGGATAAAACTGCACAACTGTGAAGCTGTCCGCAGCCCCTGCAGCATGAGTTTGACTCTCAGCCAGGGAGGGACCCCCAGGGCACAGCAGACCTCTCCTGCCTCACCTGCTGCTCCCCTCAGCAGTGCATTTCAGTAGATCTGCCTGTTTTGCTCCCCAGACTGTCTAGGGTGAGTCCTCTCACCCCCTGTGCCTCTGGCCTGTACCCCAGCTCTTGTATGCATAAATAAATACATCTTTTTAAAAATTCAGTATAATATCCTTGGGAGAATGTCAGACATGTACTAAGCATTTATCAATAAAGAATGAAATGCCACAAAATTCTTCCTTTTTGTATGTTCGCAGTGTCACATGGCACTATTGTGGCAGGCAGTTTCTATCCAATGTATTTTCAAATTTGGTTTAATATATCACCCTAACCCAAATCATGAAAACAAGTGTGTGGAGAAGATGGTTTGAAGGGTTTTGCTAACTTCATAGTTGGCAATGTCAAAACAAGCCATGAGAAAAAGTTAGAGACATTCAAAATGCATTTCTGATGTTTGAGGGTAATATGGAAGATGCCAGATTTCCCCAGCAAACACACGTAGAAAGAGAGGTCAGGGCTGGATGGTCTCATCAGGCATGCCGCTGTTATGAATAAGTAAAAATGTGGCAAATGGATGTTGGATGCCACTTACATCCAGTAAGTGAATGGCCACATCAATTAAAAGTAGAAAAAAGGAAAAAAATTCCAGAAAATCGGACAGTGCTTACCAGTCAGAAATGTGTGAGTTGGGGACCTGGGTCTCAGAGTGAGACACAAGAATCAGAAGTAGGGAGGGGAGCTGGGAGAGAGAGAGGCACCTGTCGCTCTTACTGCACCTGTGGCTCTCACGGCCTCTTCCTGGATCTGCCTAAGGCTGACCTTTCATTCGGCCAGTGACTATTTAACTGAGCACCTAGTAGGTCCCAGAGACAACCCAAGGCATCAGCAAGACAAGAAGTGCCTGCCTTTGTCGTGTTTGCATCCTAGAAGGAAAAACAAAATCAAACAACTGTGCGCAGAATTGCTCATGGAGCAGCGAGGCGCACACCCGAGAACCCTGAGGACTGGGAACGGCAGCTGGTAAGAGGGCGCTTCCTTTCCGCGCCGCCCTGTGCCACAGGGTCTGCAGACTGGGACCACCAGGACACCCGATACCTTTCTGTGCCCTGTCCGGTGGCAATCTGCAGGAGCTAGTGCTCTTCCAGATAGACTTTCTGGGCGGATGTACGTGCTCCGAGTACACTCATCGGAACGTCCCGCGTCGCCCGCATTCCCGAGTTCGTTTCCTCCCTGCGGGCTCAGTAACGATGCCCTTGCTCCCATCTTACAGATGAGGAGACTGAGCCCGAAGGGACCCACCGCTTTGTGCCAGTGAAACTACGCAAGCATGGCGGGGCCTGGACTAAACGCCAGGCTTATGCTTTTCTTGCAGACACCAACATTCGTCTCCCGTGCTGGCATTAACCTGCCCCCGACTCTCCCCCTGGAGTCTTAGCCCCCGGAGTTCGAGACCCGCACCCGCCGCCTCAGTCCTGAGGCGCAACCTCACGTCAGGGCCACACGTGAAAATAAAAGTTGTGCGTCAACAAAAGGAGAGCGCCCTCCTCGACGACCCCATGAAGTCAGACTTGCTCTTTTCTACCCAAGGAGGCAAGAAAGGCCGCGGCACCTTTCACGTGACTGCCGCTCATCGCGCACTTCAGCATGGCCGCGGGCGCCGCAGCGGGTCACGCGGCGTCCCTCAGGTCGACGGCCGCCGGTGCCCGGATGTTGCCCGCGCATCTCCGCGCTGCACGGTCGCAGCCTGCGTCCGCCTGCAGGAACTCTCAGGCGCCAGCTTCGCTTTTCGGCGGGGAAGGGCCCGTGCGGGCCCCCGTCAGGCGGTCTCCTCCCGACCCCGTCTCTCATTGGCTGGGCGCGAGGGGGCGGGGCGCCGAGAAGCCTGAGGAAGAGGGCGGCGGCGGCTGTGCTGACTGAGCGGAGCCCAGTGACAGGATGGTGAGGATGGCAGCCGCGGCGAGCGAGGCCCGGCTCTCGGCCCGGG